AAAAAACTAGCCAAGTGTGGTGGTAGGCACTTGTAGTCCCAGCCACTCAGGAGACTAAAATCAAGAAGATCACTTGAGCCCAGGAGTTTGAGATTGCTGTGAGCTATGACATTATGGCACTCAACCCAGGGCAACTGAGTGAGACTCTGTTTCAAAAAAAAAGAAAGGACGGCGCCTGTGGCTCAGGGGAGTAGGGCGCCGGCCCCATATACCAGAGGTGGCAGGTTCAAACCCAGCCCTGGCTGAAAACTGCAAAAGAAAAAAAGAAAAGATAAAAAAATAATCCAGCAGGATAGGGATCAGAGCATAGGACTTCTGCCTCAGCTCTCCCCAGATAGCTGGCCCCACACTGGATTCTCCCCTCACAGAACTGACCAGAGGAGATCAATGTTTGGTGCTGCCCCTGCCATCTCTGGAGCTGGTGCTTATGATTTTTCTAAAGCCAAAAGTAGATAAAGGGGTTCAAAGAAGTCTACATTTTGGAGCCTTAATTTCCATGTTTTTAAATTAAAATCATGTGCTTCTAGAGACATTTAATCATATAACCCACCAACCTGTTTTCTGTTCCTTCAGATGTAGTAGGTTCAACAAGTTACAAGAAAGTAAATATAGGGGGCAGCGCCTGTGGCTCAAAGGAGTGGAGCACTGGCCCAATATACTAGAAGTGATGGGTTCAAAGCCAGCCCCAGCCAAAAACTGGAAAAAAAAAAAAGTAAATATAAACACAACAATGAAAAATCCCTCTGTATTACTCCTCCACCCTTCCTTTCCCTATCTCTCCTGTTTGTGTGTGTATAGGTTTTATTTCATCACAGTGAAATCAAAACTGCACAGTGCACTGTAGCGTAGTTGTGAGCACAAAGTGCCTGGTCAGTTAACATTGCGGTAATGAGTGTGTGCATGTGGTTTTCCAAATGCTGACTTCCTCAGATATGATTCCTTTATGGCCTTTGTAAACTTCAGAGGCCAGCAGAAGATGTTTCAGGGTGGTGATTCTGGTCTTCATTAGCACCATTAGTGTTTATATTGTGATAGAAGTGTCAAGTATAAAGGGACTCCGCTGTGCCTGCAGCCTCTAGCTGGGTGCTACTGATAATGGGTCTGGGGAAGCAGCAACAGCAGTAACTGAAAACCTTTTTTTTTGAGAGTCTCACCCTTGGTAGCGTGCTATGGCATCATAGCTCACAGCAACCTCAAACTCTTGGGCTCAAGTGATTCTCTTGCCTCAGCCTCCCAAGT